CAGTCGTCTGCTTGTGTACCATAAGCAACATTTTGTGAGAGTCAATCAGATTGCAGTAAAATGCTATCTGACAAAGTCGGATATTCTAAATAAGTGTGTGTTAGGTTTTTGAGTGTGGGACGGGCCGGGGGGACGGAGGTGTAAGGTTTCGGCAGTGAGGTGAATTGCTGAAACCATAAGCTGTGAGTGGTAAAGTTGCCAACTCTAACGGATTAGGCGTGAAACTGGTAAATCAAAATACCTCAAACTTAAACCCTTAAATTCACAAAAGTTTGTTTATTATGATATGTAGCGCTACACACTACTTTATCTTGGTCCTAATCAGTAACATTGAAACAGTCTTCAAATTGAAACATCCCCCCCCCCACACACACACACACAATGATTTTTAGGCATTTGACTTTCATGGTATGTTTTGGGTTTCACAGATATTTGTTTTTAGAAAACTTGGTAACTATGGGGTGATCATAGCTACAGTACACATATAGCATAACATGTGGCTTCAATATCGCGTCATTGTTGCATACTTGTAGCTTTATTGTGGCATCAAATTCATTGCTCTACAAAGTACGCAATACTACATGCCAGAATTATGTTGCAGTGAACAGTGACTTGATACAAACGTGACAATGATGCCATTTTGAAGCCATGAATATGCGAAATGTGGCAACAGGTTATGCTATATGTGTACTGTACAGGTCACTTTCACTGTGACTTATGGGACATTTGATCAATATTTCCAGAATTGTATAGTGGTAAATTATTCATATTTTTGGAGCGTGCCCAGAATCCTATTGTGACTATAGGACATTTACGGACCAGGTTATTTGATAGAGTCCACTGATTATGTGAATGCTATCTCAGTTCAAGGAATGTGGTTTTGGTTTTTAGCCAATTCACAAGCTAGTAGGTTTAGCTCAGCAGGAATACTAATTTTGAGAAAAATAACTCTTTCTGTTTCTAATATTATCAAGTTTTTCTGTGTGACCGATAGAACAAAACAACGTGACTGATGGAACGCTATCCCCACAAAATCATAAAAATGCTATCTCTCCCAATTTGCTGAATTTTGTACTAAATCATTGCACACAAATTTATAATTAATACATTTATAGGCGTTAACATTTAATTCAATCAGACAAGATTAGTAAATTTAGAAATGTAGAAAAACCATGACTACTAAAGACTTTACTGTCAACTGTCCTATTTAGGGGAAAAAAGTATGAAAAATAACTTGATTTTGTCCTTACTGTACCAAATTATGTCTTTTTCTCATTATAAGATTATGATTTGCCTAACTGATTAGTTTAAAGCATTTAATTTGTTATTAGCCATCAGTTGCATTAAGTGTCATATCATGCTAGTTTTCTGACTCATATTTTTTTTTTTTTATCTTTTCTCTCTTTTAAGAACATTGCCACTTCTTCTTCCCCTTCTAGTGCCTATGGTATTGTGGCTGTTTTTTTCTTACATTCTTTATGTTTTCCCATATTTTCCAACCATGTCTGCCTTCTCCTTTGTCTCTTGGTACCACCTTTTAGTGACATCTTACAGTTCAAACACAATTTTTGTGACTTATAGGACAACATTCTTGGGTAGCACAGAAGAAACAATTGAAATGAAACTCAAACACTATATTGGTCTCTGATGAAGTTGAACACACTACTAGATAGCAAGAACAAAAACTCCTTCTAGAAACATGTATAATTAGCATACACAATAAACAAATCCCTAATAGTTGTGACTTATGGGACATCATTGCCACGTCATATTCAGGGCAAATTAGACACAGGTACTAAATACAGCAACAAATTCTGCAGTCTAGCATGTCAAAGTGCAGTGCTCTGAGGTCTTAAATTAAATTACTAATAGTATGATAAAAGTGACAAGAAAAATGAAACATGGTTATTTTTATAATTTTTCTTTTACCAAAAACATAAAATGGGATAGCTTTAGATAGTAGAGATGTTATATACATCATTCCTGGGTATGATTTGATAGCCAATTAAATTTGAAAAATTGGTGGAAAGGCAACTTTACCATGAAATTGACCTACAGCTATGATAACAGAATAATTTAAAATCTGAATTTCTCATTCCTCTACAGACCTGTTTAAACATAGTGGTTTAAACTGACAGTATGTCCCAGACAGTGTGCATTAGTGATAGTGATGGTGAAAACATGGCATTACCAATAGTAGATGGAAAAGTAGGAATGACCCTAGTGAGTGAGTATTGTCCCTGTTTTGCATGACTGTAGGAGAGGGTGGGGGTGTAAAGCCTGGTGTAATTCTGACTCATGAACTTTGACAACATGGTTATAGCTATGGTATTACATGTAATTTGATTTAAATACAACTGACATTCCAGTGTTATCCACATAGACATATTATATAGCATGTCAATATGGCATACAATGTTTGCACATTTTCCTAATGATGATAGTGGTTTTATGTCCATATTCACATAAAACTGTTGTCATGTATTGTTTTTCGTGTATATTAGAACAAGTGTTTCCTGAAACTAGTGGGTTGACTTATCATGACCCAGGTGATAAAGTTGGAACTGTGATGATCCTAGAAGATGGGAAATTCTGTGAACCTCCAGGAGGTTGGAACAAGAGTGGAAGGACCTACTTGGTTCTTAAAGGTAATTATGCAATAAATGTGCCGTGCATGGCACATCTCGTGTTAACCACACCAAATTTATCATATATGAAGAGAATGAAAAACAATATTTTAATGAATTAAATTAGAAAACTTGTAATTTGTAAATATGTGAACTATGTTTGACTGAATATCTCATCCCCAGACAATATAAATATATTGTTATGATTCATTTACAATGTCACACAGACTTATAATATGTAATAATCACATATTACAGAGAAAAAGAAATCTACTGAGAGAGTCAAAGAATTACTCAAATCCATAAGGAAGAAAAAGAATAAATCAAAATGTACATGCCAAAGCAAACATAACAAAGTAGCAAGTGTAAATAAAGTAAGTATACCTGTAACTTTAATAAACTAAACAATGTTTAACTTAAAGTTGTATTTTCTTCTATTTTTTAGTCCCCGTTCAGACGAAGTCAAAAAGCGGGGACTATTAATTTGGGTTCCATTCGTCGGTCCGTGCATCCATCTAGAGCCATTTCTCGGACCAATCAAACTTGGCATACGGACAATGTATGATAACCTACATATGCTGGCCGATTTTCATTATGATTCGTTTAAATATGGCTGACTGGCAGCCATTTTGTCCCTCAAATTTGCTAAAATCTGATATTTAAACATTTCCGTAACTGTTTCTCGGGTGATTTCAATCAAACTTAGTATGGTGATCATGCATAGGTATAGGTGCACGTCACTTTTTTTTCCAAGATTAGGTCCAAGATGTCCGACTGGCAGCCATTTTGTTTTGTTTTCCGTTTTCATGCTGATTCCTCCATAAGATGTGGCCTGATTCAGTTCAAAGTTTTTACATAAATAACACAACACCATGTTTTGTTTTGAGATTTGATCAAATTTGTCGAAATGGCGGCCATTTTGTTTAATATTATAAAATCACAGTCTATAATGTGTACGGAACAGTTTCTCGGAGCTGTACAGGGTGATTTCAATCAAATTTTGTATGGTAATCATGCATATTGGGTTATAGGTGCACGTCACTTTTTTCTTCGAGATTCGGTCCAAGATGGCCGACTCACTGCCATTTTGTTTTTTTTCCCTTTTTGTGCTGATTCCTCTGAAAGATATCTCCTGATTCAGTAAAAAGTTTGTACATAGGTAGTATACTGCAAGGTAACACAATAACATGTTTTGTCTTGAGATTTGATCAAATTTGTCGAAATGGTGGCCATTTTGTCAAAAAAAACGTAAAATCATATTCTGTAATATGTCCGGAACTGTTTCTTGGAGCTGAACAAGGCAATATGGCCTGATTCAGTTCAAAGCTGTATAGGGCATTTTCAATCAAACTTTGTATGATGACCTTACATATTAGGTTACAATGCAAGCCATATTTCTTTTGGAGATACTTGAACAACAATACCCGACTGACTGTGTTTTAATTTTCACGCTATTTCCTCTATAAGATATAGTTCAATTCAGTTCAAAGCAATTCAGTTTCCACGTAGGTACTATACTGACAGTAACACAATCTATAATCTGTGTTAGTGTTAAAAAACATTGATCTTTCATTTTTACATGTCACTTATACTGAACATTTACTTCGACTACAGCTAATACTGAACGGGGATTACAGTATGCATTAACAATGCTTGTTTTTAAAAAAAATATATGTTCTACTGGTATAATGCCTGAAAACCGTCGGTTTTAAAATATAGAGTTCTTAGCAACGTAGGGGGTCTCAAACCAAGAGTCAACTTTGAACTGGTGTATTGCTGTCATTTTTCCATATTTTAATGTGCAACCTGACTCTTAAGTTGCATTATGGAATAAGATTAACTTTATTGCCACTTATAGGGCAAAACCCATACACTTTTCCCTGGATTTCTTGCAAATGTTGCAAATTGCTGGATTTAGTTAAGCCTTCAACTAAATATAGAAGATAATACAACTTTAAATATTGAACTGGAAATCTATTCAGTATGCAACACTTTGACCAATTACTATTCAACAACACAGGAGTATTAAAATTGCATTACATAACAGTAACACTATATATACATTAAATAAGTGTGTAATCTAGAAGTTTGCGACATGACTAGAGAGGTCGCTGTTATTGATTTTGATGTTAAATCTAATGTAAGCTCTCACATCTCATTGTTTGTTACAAAATAATATATTTGCACATTTTTTCACAGGTAGAAAATATACAATCAAGTATTGCAAGAAAAAAAAGTGCCAGAATATGAGTAGGTTGGAAACACTACAAGAAGACAAAGTACAACTCAGCATACAAACAGATTTACATGCGGGAAGATGGGGGGACACGTGATATTGAAATGCCTTCATTAGAAATTAGAACAGAAATGATACTAAAAGCATCTATTGAGGTATTTTTTCCAAATGAAATTTCAACTTTTGGAAAGATTGATGATATGGAGTATGTCTTGGGCGATTTTTGTGGTAGAAAAATTAGCATGTTTGTCGACCAGGATGGTGGGCCAGGCACATATAATGATTACTTAAAAGTGCATGGGTTGTTCACTTCGAGAAATACTATGTATTTGATGACCAAGTCTAAGGAGGCAGATGAAGACATAGATGACTCTCAGAAGACTGGAGCAGAGTCAGATGTCAGAGTAACTAATACTGGTGTAAGTGCTGAAGTACAAAGCCTTAGTGGAGGTACTGGTGTAAATGAAGGATATATTAGCATGGCTGAAGCTAATACTGGTATAGGTACAGAGGTACAAAGTATCAGTAGTGGTATTTGTGGAGTTATAGGAGAAACAAGTGTGGCTGAAACTAACTCTGTTATAGGTGCAGAGATGCAAAACCTTATTGAATGTACTGGTGTAGATGAAAGAGAGATTAGCAAGTCCGAAGCTAATACTGGTATAGGTACAGAGATACATAGCCTTATTGGATGTATTGGTGTAGATGAAGGCAAAACAAATGTGGCTGAATCTAATACCAATGTAGGTGATGAAGTACAAAGCCTTAGTTGTGGTATTAGTATAGATACACAGGAAACAAGTGTGGCTGAAACTATTACTGGTATAGGTACAGAGATACATAGCCTTATTGGATGTATTGGTGTAGATGAAGGCAAAACAAGTGTGGCTGAAACTATTACTGGTATAGGTGCTGAGGAGCAAAGTCTACCTGGAGCAGGTGGTACTGATGTAAGAGAGCTCACAGATAGTGGTTGCAGTACCAAAGAAGGTAATTTGGATAGCAATTCACACCATTTGTTTCCATTATCAACTGAAGGTAAAATAATTGATAACAACAGTATTCTCCACATCAGGTATTCCACAACAAATGAGTCAAGATATAGTGATAAAGTAGTTACACTAAACTGTTTTCAGCGATCATCCTGTCGAGAGTTTACTGAAGTTAACTGTCCTGCTCTCAAGGATTTCAATAAGTATGATCCCATGAACTATGGATTCAGGGTTACACACATAGTAATTGGAATTGGACAGACTACATATCTAGATGCCGCTTATGATGAATGTCACATTTATACCTCCTATCCGGCACATAATATTAAAGATGATATAATTCTTCACCATCCTAATGAGATATTTGGTTATGATGGGAATGAATTCATTGTAGGCATAGTAACAAACAACCATGGTAGAGATGACGTAATGTACTCATGGTATAGAGATGGTCAACTGATGCAGTATGGACAACATCTGTGTGTTATTGCAGTACATAATCCAGGAGTCTATCAGTGCAAGATCACCATTGGCGAAGGTGAGGAAAATGTAGCTGACATATCAAAACCAATCCAGATAGTGGAATTCAAACAACCCTATAAACGATCATGCAGTGGCAGCTATACAATGGATACATGTTCAGCAGACACATCTACTGATAATGGAGCTATTCCTGAAATTACACGAGAAGAATTTGTGATGACAGGTGAAATTGGTCGTGGTGCTTTTGGCACAGTTTTCCAAGGTGAATGGACAGGGACTCCAGTTGCAATTAAATACATGCAAATAAAACGCATGAAAAGGCAGATGCTGAAAATTGTGAAGAATGAAATCAAAGTAAATGAGAGAATTCGCCATCCAAATATTGTTCAGTTGATTTCAGTGTGCTATGAGCCTTCTGGAATATATCTTTTATCAGAATATATTGAAGGATATAATATGGAAGATTGTGCATTTGATGATGATATCAAAAAAATAATGAAACTTTCAACAGAAAACAAGAACAACATTGCCAAGCAATGTTTGCAAGGGTTGGCATACCTTCATGCACTAAAGCCTCCTATAGTTCACCAGGATATTAAACCAGCAAATGTTGTGATTGCAGCAGCCACTTATCTCACTAAAATATGTGATATGGGCATGGCTAAGGTAAAATCCATTCAAAGTGTCACCTCAAACACTATGGTTGGCTATTGTGCTGGTACCCCATCTTACATGGCACCAGAATGCCTTCTCCATAAAGAAAAAGCCAAGACTGCCTCTGATGTATGGTCTGTAGGTATGACTCTTATTGAATTTATGACAGAACAAGATGCTTGGAATATTGATGATGATGAGGTTGAAGATCCTTTAACCATAATACTACAGATGATGAGTGATAAAAGAAAACCCCATATAAAGGATTCCATGAACCACTATAATATACTAAACAGATTCGTTTAATATGTTTCATCAGTGCGTCCTTCAGTGATTGAAGTCTTGTCAGCGTTTCAGTAATTGTGTTTTGAATTATTGTTATTGTTTCAATCCATATTAGCTGCATAAATAACAGTTAATTGTTTTGTTGTCAGTCTAGCCATTCAGCGATTTATAGTAACACATTAAGGCTGCATATATAGTGCTATTATGACTAAGAAGACATTTCATTCTACTGATTCTAATCAGCATTATATGGTTTATGTTTTATTTAACGGATCCATAATTGAGTAAAATATGAGGTTATTACGAGAATGCCTCAAAGTATGCACAAAGACAGTACAGCAGAGCTTGATGCGTGGCATACTGTATGAGTGCATACTTTGAGGTATTCTCGTAAAAACTTCATTATTATACATCTTTTCGTTCCAAGTATACACCATGGTTTAAAACAGAAATAGTGAACTTCTTTGTGTGAAGTCTGGTCAAACCCCGATGGTGGACATGTTTGTTTTTATTATTAGAGGATGCTTACGTGCGTAATCATTCCATATTTGGAATTCACATTTCCTAATATGGTACCGCAAAATTAAGGCACGCTGTAACTTATGGCGTTACAGTGACAGATGCATAATAATGTCAAGTATTTTGTTATATAAAAGTTTCATGCTCCAAATTGAATCTTTCATAACTTTCATAATATTTTGGGCAAGTTTTTAGAAATTCTGAATTTTGAGTTGTGAATTTTGAGTTTTGAAATGATAATACTTAGGATGAAACCATGTGTGTTAATTATTTATTTTTACACAAGTCTAATATAATAGTTATCCATTATATGCTCTGGGTCATGGAACAGGAAAAAACATACATATCTTTATATTGCTCTACTATATATATCATGAGCATTTTGCAGAGTGGTTTTTCCACTGGACATGTTTAAGATTATCAACCGCAAAATAACTTGCTTAATGTAACTTTGTTTTGGTGGTAAATAAAATGGTCAATAATTTCTCTAACAACCATTAACAACAATTTCTAACTAAAAATTATATGTAATGTATTTTGTTTAAATGTGACAAAGCATCATGTTTTCAGTTCATGCTCAAAACTATTATATTATGCATATGAAGTGTATTATGCTTAGTATGATTTTAATGCTTCAGGTCAAAATTTGTCAAAATCACATTTATTATTTGAACATGACAGTTTGTAAAAGAACCCTGTGCAGTCTAAAGAAGTGTTTTATTACATGTTTCTTATACTGGTGTGATATTAGATACATTTTATCTCATATAATAGAACAGTCTGTTTGTTTTCATATTACATGCACTTTTAAAACAAAATGGGGCAAGGGTCACTAGGATTCGTAGTCTTAGTTTCACAATACATTTTGGTATTATTATTCTTGATTCTTGTCCATCTGTGCAAAATCACTGAAATATCTAAAAGTCGATTGGGATGATACATGGTACACAAACACTATGGGGATGCAAGATCTGATTAGTTGGTGCTATTTTATTATGCTAATTGCCAAATTTGCATATTTTCTTCAAATGATATTCACTCCCCTGTACTGCTTCCTATACTGATCCCCCCGAGTTATATTTTTCATTTACTTCTTACCAAACTGTGACCTGCAGCATCTCCTATTGTCCTTATAGTACATACATTTTTTATAACTTTTTTTAAAAAAATTTCACGGCTATCATTTTAAGCAATCTTTTAGATCTGAAGTATGAAAACATCTGCTTTTTAAATTGCTACACCAGTCAATGGGGGTATATGCTAAAACATCAAGTTGATAAAGTAACACCACTGTATTAGTTACTTTCTGCTAGTAATTGTTAAAGTTGTACTGTTTTATATTTTTTATAAAATTGATCATTTCCTGGTTTCAACAATACAAGTTATACTATAATGCCAGAAAGCAGTTTGTTTGAAAAGGATTTACAGCAACTTATGGAGACTCAAAAAAACATTGTAAATGAAGACAACTGCAAACTGTAGTATTGCTAGCAAGTATCCACTGTTATTGATTGAACATTGAATTGGTTCACATAGAGGAATACTCAAATTTAAAAGAAAGCCTTGCTGTTGTAGTTTGAATTACTGTTTATTGTTAACCATTTGTATTATTAGTTGTTTTCTAATAAATCATTTTGGTACAATATCTGTTTGTTGTTATATATGTATATACAATGCAAACAGTGCCTGCAACTTGTCTTATCAACCTATATAATCTCAGTTTAAAAGTTCCATGGAGACTGTTTTTACTATCATTGCATTATAGAGAGAGGGAGTTATGTTTTGATGTGAATAATAGACTATTCAGATTTATTTTAAATATTGTGTCTTAATTACACTAGTTGTCGTGGTATTCTTTAATTTGTTCGACTAATGTTAAATATAGTATTAAGGCATCCTCAACATTTGTGGGCATTTTCACTCCCGGAACCAAAGTATCAATCAACTCTAAACATTCAGGTGAGCAACCGTATGGTGAAGGATCACGTGGATATATTTCCTTCAGGGTGGCCACGTCATCATTATCAATTGGTACTTTATAATCACAACATCCAACTGTTTGAGGTTGAAAGTACAATACATCTGGCTTGCCACTTAAACTCTCAGCATTCTTCTTGCAGGTAATGTGATGGATGTTCCACAATGATGCCACTTTTTCCATCTCTTTACGCAGTATATCCATAAAGCAAAA